CTCGATCTGGCTGATACGAAGACGTTTCAAAATATCTCTGTTTTGTCTTTCAACTTCGCCGATCATTTGAGGCCAATATGGTACAGTACTAAATAACTTAATGTTACATTCTTTGCAGAAAGATCGAAACTCTTCACTAACGAACTGCTTGCCATTGTCTGCGGTGATAGAAATAGGATAACAAAGTCTACTGAACATTTCTTTTACCATTTTAATAATCTGTAATCTTGTGATGTTTTTGTAATTGTTTACTTCTTTGTATCGACTGTAATAGTCGACCACTACTAACAGATACTCGTTACTTGGCAATGGTCCCATTAGATCCATTGTGACATCTATCCATGGAGCTGCAGGCAACTCTCGTCTCTTCATTGGTGCAGTTGGGTTTGGCAAACCCACTAACGTACAAACTTTACAGGCCTTTACTAATTGTTCTACGTCTTTATCGATACGGGGCCACCATACCTTTGATCTCAAGCGTCCCTTCATCGCTACGATACCTGGATGACCCTCGTATGCAGCATCTAATACACTCTTGCAGAGTTGCTGTGGTATTACAATTTTATTTCCACGAAGTAGAATGCTATCATGGAAACACAACTCGTTTTCAAAAAATTTGTATCTCTTGATCGAATCGTCCCAGTCGTTCTGATAGACACCTTTTTTCACTTTGTAAATCTCTTGGTCTTTTTCTGAATATGCTACAATGGAACTCATTGGTATAGCAACTGGTCTAGAATTTTCCACTATTTGGTATACATGCTGGTCTTTTCCTTTTGGTAGGTTATCAGGATAGTTACATAATCGTGACAAGGGATCAGCTATATTTGTTTTTCCTGGCTTGTATATAACCTTGAATGAATAAGACTGTAGCCTCAGTACCCATCGTTCAATCCTCGCACATGGTTTTGACTTAGACCCGAACAATATCTCTAGCGGCTTGTGGTCAGTGACTAAATCAAAAGGCTTTCCAAATAAAATATTAAAATGTTCGACCCCCCAAACTAATGCTAGTGCCTCTTTTTCCGTTTGGCTATACCTGCGCTCGCAGTCTGTCAAAGTTCGATTACCATAGGCAATAATTCTAGGGCCATTTGTATCATTTTGTACAAGAACAGCACCAAGTCCGACAGGGCTAGCATCTGCTATCACCTGTCTTGCATCTCTGACGTCATAATACCCTAAAATCTGTATTTCCGTCAGCATCCGTTTGAGTTTTTGGAATGCTTTATCTTGTTCCCCAGACCATTGTTTTTCCAAGCTCTCTCTTTTGCTCATCCTCTGTCTCAGCAGGTGCTTCAGAAGTTCTGTCATGGCGGCCAAGTTAGGTATCCATTTGTTTATGTAGTTTAACGAGTCCTAAAAAATTTTGGAGTTCTTCTATGGTCTTTGGGACCCTAAATTTCATAATGCTCTCAACGTACTTGTTGAAGGGTTTACTCCTTCATGTGTAAGCCTATGTCCCAGAAAATTCACATCCTGCGTTTTATATATGCATTTATTGCTATTCAGCACGGCGTTGTTTTTACTGAGTACCTGTGGAACTTTCTTTAGTCATGCGTCATGTTCTTCTTCACTGTTCCTGAATACCAGGATATCATCAATAAAATGACGACCCCTTCACAGTTTATCAGCATCCTTTCAATGATTTTCTGAAAAATCTCGGAAGCGCAGGTAATTCCAAGCATTATTCTTTCATATCTATATAATCTTTTGGGGGTTATAAAAGTCGTTATGTGTCTGGATTCAGAGTGAATTTCCACTTGATGGAAGGCATTTTTTTATGTTTAATTTGTTAAAAATATTTAGCTTTCTTCATTTTAGGCAAAAATGGTCCATAGTAGGCAGGGGGTGGTTTTCTCGCAATATAACGGCGTTCGTATATCTCATATTTACGCACAAACGTAATTCACCATTTTCTTTCATGATTGGAACATTGGTGAAACCCATTTAGTCGGGCCTTGCACTTCTTCAATTATATCACTGTTTAGTGATTCCTTAATTTTGATTGCAACCTTCTCTTTAATGGGGATCGGTACTCTCCACTTGATTTATCCCGATACCAAGTTTTAAGACCCAGATGGACTGCTGTGATCTTACCAAACAGGTCTCTAGTACCCCCCGAAATCACGTAAATGGTTGTATGTTCCTTTCGTCCATCGACTTCGAGTATAGTTTCAAATGAACCCTCTATTGCCAAAGGAGAGTTACTACCATATGCTAATAATGTCTTGTCTGGTCTTTACATTTGATTAAAAGCATATACTTTTTTGCTTTTTAACTCTTCCCACGTTTTGTAAGATATAAGGTTCTTGCGCAATTTCGAATTACACTTTTCCGCAATTTGATCTATGAAATGATCATCTTGCTTTTCGAATGCACACTTTTCGGCCTGTTGACGCAATCTTATCAAAAACTTCTCAAATGTTTCTCCTTTTTCCTGTTTTAGCGATCGAAAAACATGCCGCTCATAAACTTTGCTCCGTTTAGGTTGAAAATACTCGTAGAGTTTTTTTATGGCTACTTTAAATACATCAACGGTTTCTGATGATTCGACATTGGCACCCGGTAAATTGTGGAATATTTCTTGTATCCCACCCAGAGCCACTAAAATGCAATAGAGTAGCACGTTTCTTGAGTGCTGATATAACTTCAGCTGCGTCCAGATAGATTAGTAGAGACCTTTTCCATTTTTCACACCTTATAGCCATAGATGTGCTAGCACATAAAAGCTGATAACGGCATCATTATAATTATTATTTTAGGGGCAAACTGAAACAGTTTCTTATATTTTTTTTCCAATTTAATGCTAGTATTTTAATACCCAAAGTCCAATTTAATGGTAGTAACTTAGTACCCAAAGTCCAATTTAATGGTAGTAACTTAGTACCCAAAGTACAATTTAATGGTAGTAACTTAGTACACAAAGTCCAATTTAATGGTAGTAACTTAGTACCCAAAGTTCAATTTAATGGTAGTAACTTAGAACCCAAAGTCCAATCTAATGGTGGTACCTACCTTAGTACCCAAACTCCAATTTAATGGTGGTACCTTAGTACCCAAACTCCAATTTAATGGTGGTACCTTAGTACCCAAACTCCAATTTAATGGTGGTACCTTAGTACCCAAACTCCAATTTAATGGTGGTACCTTAGTACCCAAACTCCAATTTAATGGTGGTACCTTAGTACCCAAACTCCAATTTAATGGTGGTATATTAGTACCCTAACTCCAATTTAATGGTGGTATCTTAGTATCCTAACTCCAATTTAATGATGGTATCTTAGTACCCAAACTCAATTTAATGATGTTATCTTAGTACCCAAACTCAATTTAATGATGGTATCTTAGTACCCAACTCAATTTAATGATGGTATCTTTGTACCCAAACTCAATTTAATGATGGTATCTTAGTACCCAACACCAATTTAATGGTTGGTATCTTGGTACCCAAACTCAATTTCATGATAATAATATGTTCCATAACACTCGCCCTTCTCTTTCGGTTTATTTGTTATACCGACTACTTCCATTGCTGTGCCATTTAGGCTTTGGGTAAATTCAATACCTATATTGCGCATTTACAGTATTACTAGTTACCTACTTTGCAATGTACAGAAGTCGTGAAGTGTCCACGATTTTTTGTAAGACTTATATATGCCATGAAAGCAGTAAAATAGTATTTTCATTAAAGGCGATAAATATCACACCTACATGTAAAATGCTACTAAAATTTAGCTAACGACATTGTATTTCGGTTCGAATCGAGAGGAGTGATTAGTAACATCTACTATTTTTCCATCAAAAATCTTTTTAAATAAAAGTTGTGCTAATAGACATATTTTAAAATAAATCATTATTTTATCATTGCTACATAAAGAAAATAAATTTTTGCGCACCATAAGCGTGGTCATATGCGAACATATAATTTATATAAATTATTAAAATGATCAGAACAGGATTAAAAACAATAAATCATAATTTTTTTTTCCGCGGGTACTCTAGGAATTAATTTACAATTGCAGTGCTAATAGTTGCACATTGCTAACCTATTTCTGATTATATCTTTATACTAAATAGGTACTTATCTTTTTCCTCGTCGCCACTTGTAATGTCTGCTATCTTCTCTAATCACTGTAGTAGTAGGCACAGGCTCGGCACGCACTTTAACTAAACACGTCCACTCTCGCCCGAGGCTCTCGTGTAACTGACGTGGTGCGCTCGAGACAGTGACTTATATATAAATGTATGTTTGTGTTTTTGTGCATGGTAAATTAATAGTAAATAAAACAAATAACAATATTTACTGTTAGTGATGCACAGACTTATTAAGACTAGGGGCCACTCGGGCAAATTATGAACTGATGGCGGGCCGTCAGAAGTATAGGTAATTAAAGACAATAAAGAATTGATAATAATGTATTAAAATTGAAAATGAATTTATTAATTTAAAGCGTGGCACTGCATAGTGCTTACAATCTTTTTTATATTTGGCTCAAAATTACTTGTAGCAACACGTAAAACTGCTTCCAAACTTTCATTTGCAAGGCGGTTTCGATTTTTTGTTTTATTATTATTACGATTGAAAAGGTTTTTTCACATATATAGGTAGAACCAAATAAGCTGGCACATTTCAGAGCGTTTATGCGCAACTCTTTGTACGTATTTTTATCAATGCAGCGGTAAAAGTTCAGCAAGTGTCCTTCGTTGAATTTGTTGCGTAAATCTTGGTCGTTTTGAATGTCGATAAATTCTAACTGCATTGACTCTGGCGCATTTTCAACTGAAATCGTGAAAGGATTGCTGAATATGTCCAACAGAGGTTTCACTTTTTTAAACTCCGAAAATCTGTCTTGAAAAGATTGAATCAAAATATCTAGCTTTTCTACATAACTGAAATTAATCGCAGTTTTGTTGAATTTTTCAGCCATTTTCTTATAATTCGGAAAATGATTGTAATTTCCAGAATTCAATTGCGATCTGAAAAGTGTCAGCTTGCATTAAAAGGATGATACATGAGCGTAGAGCTGGGATATCAGTTGATTTTTGCCTTGAAGCCGTGTGTTCAAGACATTCAAATGATTTGTAATATCAACTAAAAAAGCCAAATCACACAACCAATCAGGACTTTTAAGTTCCGGGACATCCCTTTGCTTTTGTGCCAGAAATATTCCAATTTCTTCTATTAAATTTAGAAATCGTTCCAATGTCAATCCACGACTTAGCCACCTTACTTCTATATAATACAGTAAATCTCCATATTCGCTTTCGATGTCATCAAGGAATTGCTTGAATTGCCTGTGATTGAGTCCTCGTGATTTTATGAAATTTACAGTCGAAACTACCACTTTCATGACATTTTGAAATTCAATTTTTTTAGAACAGAGGGCTTCTTGGTGTATAATGCAGTGAAACTGCATGAGATCTTCAGCGTTTATGTTTTTTTCTTGCAGATACTTTTTCAGCAAAGTAACTAGCCCAGAATTAACACCAATCATCGAAGGAGCACCGTCAGTCGCAACTCCCGATAATTTTGATAAGTCCAAATCAAGGGTCTCCCTTAAGGGCCTTAAGGAAGGAAGGCCCTTGGAAATCATTAGATCAGTTATTTAATTTTATATCATGTAAATTGTGTAATGACGTTATAAGTTGATAGTAAAAGTTTTTTTATTCCTTTTAGCGCATTTAAATAAAAGCTTGTTTTTAAAAAGTTTTTTTTACTTTTAATTTATTTTTTACCTTTTAGTTATCGCTGGACAGGTTTCTCAGTCTGTTCATCGCATTCAACGCATAATTGTTGTAAGGTCGTTTGTCGGTTAATTATGAATAGTGTAGCTCTTTTCAGACGGATTGGAGCAATGTAGGTTATGATCACCATCTTATTTTTTTTAACTCGCATTAATATTCCCAGCAAGTCCTTTCACTTGATACCCATACTATAGGAAAGCATAAAAAACTTAGTCCGCCATCTTTAGAATTTCGCCATATTGGAGTTAGAGTGATGTCACTTTATTTTTCGAGTTATTCTCATCAAGCTCTTTCATTTGATACCCATATTGTAGGAGCGCATTGGTTTAACGCCAACAATATGCTCTTAAACGGCAATAAGACAAAGTGTATTAAATTTACAATACCTAATGTAAAACATTCGAATACCAGAGTGGGGTGGAGTTGAGTCTTGTGGATACCACTGTTTTTCTTGGTATTACTATTGATGCGAAACTTCAATGGGGCCCCCATATATCTAAATTAGCAAGCAGACTTAGTTCTGCAGCATATGCTGTAAGAAAGATTAGAAGTCTCACAGATGTTGAGACAGCTAGATTAGTGTATTTTAGTTACTTTCATAGCGTAATGTCTTATGGAATTTTGCTATGGGGTAATGCGGCTGTTATTGAAGCTATATTTGTTTTGCAAAAGAGAGCCGTACGGGCGATTTATAACCTAAATTGTAAAGAGTCCCTCACTTTGGCATCGCAATATATTTATGAGAATGTAATGTATGTGCATAAAAACATAAATAGCTTTAATAAGAATAAGGATGTGCATACTTTAAATACTAGGAACAAACATAAGCTTGTAATGCCAGTTACTAGACTCCACAGAATCAGTAATTCATTTATGGGGCAATGTATACGCTTTTACAACAAAATCCCAGAACATATTCAAAGTTTGTCAATAAATAAGTTTAAAAGTTTTATTAAAGAAAAACTGTACAAAAAAGGGTTATTATAATATCAAGGAATACATGAATGAAAATAACCCCTGGGAATAGGGTGATCGCCACCATGCTGGTTCTATGAAAAAACATTTAAAAATTGTATAAACAAAATTATTGTTAAGTGAAATTATGTTTAAAAAAAATCCCGCTGGGTTTCTTGCTGGTTCTTCCCAGGACTGAGGTATTTTCCGAACCAGTGGTAAATAAAAAATGACTTTCAATAAGAATTATGTAATAATCAATATTGAATAAAAAATTATTCTATTCTATTCTATTCTATACGAATGCACGATTGACCCACCCTAATAATCAGTCAACAGACTTCATAATTATCGGTAAACCATCTGGGCAAAAAATTGGCATGAACGTTGTTTCATCATTGTAATGTATTTCGGCGAATATTTTAGTTCCGCGACTTGCCGCACAACATTTGTAGGACGCTACTTCTCGGCGTATATCAGCGCTGTGTATATTCGACTTTTTCTCCATCAATTACTCCGCGTATCCTCTTACCGCATATTGTAGAGATTTTTTAAAGTTTTTGTCAACTCAAATCTACGATTTAATTACATCCGCAAAGTGAGTTCACGATATGGGCTGTACGGGGAAGTAGAGACGAAAAGGAGTGGGAGGCTCTTACGATTCGCGCACGGGCACGTGGCGAATATTTATTTACTAGCTAATGGTCACTGGTCGGTCATTTGGAGTCTTGTTGCCTCAGAAAGTATCGGAATCCTCGACGTCGACATATCGAATGATGTGCAGGGAAGAGAAGGGCAATATGGCCTCTCTTCTTCTCTTCAAAAAGCTTGATGTACTCAGCAGAGCGTGGCAGCATTTCATGCCGGTATACTGCCTGCAACTTTACAAGGGTTCGGCCTTACATGGAATACGTTTCCCATCTCTGGGCTAGGGCTCCCCAGTGCCAGCTCCTTCCATTTGATCGTATCCAGCGCAGTGTTATGAGAAATTGTTCGGAATTACTGCAGCCGCTCAATTAACCATCGCACATCGCGACAAAACTCGCAATACCATCTGGATGATTTGCGATCCACCACTGTGCGATTTACAATAATTTTTTTTCTTCCTTGCACAACTTTCTTGTGAAATCGAATACCACCAGCGATTTTTCCGGACCGATACGACTTCGGGATCTTCACGAAAAGAGCCTATTATTTTATTAAAAGGCCTGTAACGCACCTGCAATTCCCTTAGTGTTGCAGATGTTCACGGGCTGCAGTCCAGGTGAGCTGCTAGTTCGTTTGCCCACTCTTCTATAAAAAAAAAACAAAGATTTCTTCGCAAGGAATCTTACATCCGACAGCTCATCAAGTATAACAGTTGCACTAAGAACACTGCTATAATTTCATTCGGGATAGGGACGGTCTCAATGTCAACGCATTAAGTGAGCAAAACAATTAAACCTTATGCGGAATATGCAGAGTGCCACATTATTTCCGTTATGAATGGACATGCATGAAGTGAGCAAAACATACGAACCATTACGGAATATACAGAGTCTCACGTAATTTCCGTCGTGAACGGACGCATGAAATGAGCAAACCATACGAACCATATACGGAATATACAGAGTATCATATAATTTCCTTCGTGAACGGACGCATGAAGTCAGCAAAATACGAACCATATACGGAATATACAGAGTACCACATAATATCCGTCGTAAACAGACGCATGAAGTGATTAAAACATACGAACCATATTCGGAATATACAGAGTGCCACATCATTTCTGTCATGAGCGGACGCATGAAGTGAGCAAAACATACGAACTATATTATACGGAATATACAGAAGGTCATATCATTTCCGTCATGAACGGACACATGAAGTGAGCAAAGCATACAAAACATATACGGAATATACAGTGTGCCACACGGAATATACAGTGTGCCACGAACTAAAAACCGAAAATCTTTAATAACGCAACTTTTCAGTGATAATGGCACTCTATGACCATCTGTCTGATCAATAAGTTCACATCTGTCCCAACTAGCGACATCTGGTCAGCGGGAAATTATTAGCCCCCATTTGGCAACCCCAGTTCATTAACGAAGAGAATGTTGCAAACATTTTTAAGTTTATTAGGCTTTCTCATAAAAATACAATGACAATAAATGAATTCTAGTAGAGACATGAACGAAAGTTTAACAGTGGTAGAGCCACGCGGCAGCTTTTGCTGTCGCACGGATGGGCCGGCTCGAACCGGGGTGGTACCACGACCTCACAGAATACCAGCGTGAAGTAGAGGTTTACCTCTGCGTTTCGCTTGGTGAGTGGCCGGAGGCCCTTTTTTACTGGAAAATCAGGCATTCCATCTTAGTCCTCATGGGTGACAACGCATCTGCATTTTGATTCGCAAACGAGGATAGGTGTAGATGTCTATGGGCCGCAGCAACCACTTACCATCAGGTGGACTGTGTGCTCGTTTGTCACCCTTATCCTATACAAAAAAAAATGCTTTTTATCATGAACGGCCGTCCTCAATGAGCAAGAATTATTCAAAATTGAATATGGTCCTGTCGATTATAAATGAAATTCCTATTCTAATATGTTATTTGTTAACAGATACATTAAAAATATTCACTCTCTTAACATTTGTAATTCTATTATTATTTTTAAATTTTATGAAGCATTTTTTGGCGAAAGATACAGAAATGACTATTAAGATATCTATTTTTGTTTCCAAAATTTTTGATATTGGCTTGAAGCCAAACAAAATAATTTTATAGTTTAATTGGTAAATAAAAAAGGACATCGTGTATATATTTTATTTCATCATTAGAATGTAAATTACATAATGAAATATAAAAAGTCAACGTTTTATATACAAAATATATGAATTCTCTTCGTGACTAGGTAAATATATTTTAACTTAGCCAATTAATGTTAAATATAAATTTAAGTTTTTCCATATTTATTTTGTTAAAGTGTGTTTAGGTTGAATTTGTATTTAAAATATTCTTATCAATGCTCTTACATTGAATTTTACTATACAGGCGATTGAGCATTATTTATATACAAAAATTTTGAAAGCGTTATAAAGCAGTCGACATGTTCGCAAATTGAGGCCGCACATTAAACACGAGCATTTCGTAATGTGGTGAAGATGTTTTCTAAACATATTTTATAATGATAATATGAAGGTTTAGAGCATAATTTATATTTTTATTATTTTTTAATATTATAATACTTAAAAACTACGAAGTGATTACCGTGTAAAATAAATTAAACCTAACATTAAGTACTGATTATCCCGCAGTACATGCTCTAAGACTTTATCACCTAAAGTCTATACAAGTACTTACTCTGGAGTATACTATACTACTCCTACCCTGATGTCTAACAGTGGATAAATATTATCTTTTTGAATGAATTAAGCTGACTGTCATTAATAACTTTCGCACATTCACCCCCGGACTAAAACCTAATAAGACACTATATTGCACAGAAGTTATTAACGACATGTAGTTTAATATGATCCTTTGGAATATTAAAGTGGTTTACAATTTTAAAATGATTTATGTACTTAATAAGTGAATTGATAGAAAATTTTGAACATTGTTATGACCAGACGCACTTATTAGTAAAAACTAAGTTTCTAATTTAGTAAGATGATCGGCCAGAATGGTCCTCATAGTGCTGAGTGCCGGGCGGAGCGCGGTATCCAGGGTAGTTGTTGTTGAGGGCATGCTTCGCAAAGAATCCAGAGTAGTCCTTGTTTACCTGTAACATAAGGTACACAATAGAATGTCTTCACTATTCTAATCGTACTTCCGAAGTATAAGATATATATTTCCCGAAACATCAATACACATTCATGCAACCTTACTCGTTTGCAACGCAAAGCTATTAGAGAGAAAGAAGTCGACGTCGCCGAGACAAATATGTAATTTAGTCAATTACGTGATTTCATGATACTAGAACAGTGCGAAGCCTAATCTAAACGCGTTAGGTGGTCTACTACTACATAATAGAATGCTAGTGATGTTGTTGTGGGCCTTATATTTAAACGTATATGTATTACTGAAGGTAGCCAATAATAATAAATAATTTTATTCAATAGAGTTGCAGTGCCTATAGAAAATTTCTTAAAATGGAATAGTAATAAAGGTAGATAATAAAACTAGTGAGGGTGGTGTACTGTTCTCCTGGCCAGACTACAATAGCCAGGTCAGCCGCAGGACCTACGGACATTTAGCGTCAGTACCTTACCTCCGTAACGCACATAGGAAAAATATGTTACTTCTTTTCCTCTTTTAGTACAACAGAATAAATGTACGTTTTTTTTATATGATAGGGTGACAAACGAGCACACAGACCACCTGATGGTAAGAGGTTGCTGTGGCCCATAGACACCTACATTTATCCTCGTTTACGAATCAAAATGCAGATGCGTTGTAACCCGTGAGGACTAAGATGGAATGCCTCTTTTCCAGTAAAAAGGGTCTCCGGTTCTCTACACTCACCATACGAAACACAGCAGGATTAAGCTGCTATTTTACGCTGGTATTCTGTGAGAATACCAGCGTGAAATAGCAGTATAAATACTTAGTATAACATTTAAATAAAAAAGGTAGGTACCCAAAAAACAAAACAAGACATTCATTATTCAAGTCTCCTAGTCTCTCTTTTCAATTGTGTTTTTTAAGACTCATGTCAGGTGCCCCGGAAGTAAGGTAAATGCTTAATTTGACGTGCAGATATTTTTTTTAGATTTTTATTTTATTCATTCGGATTCCGGAACTAATATAAGTTTCATCAAATATCCTTCAATGAAATTAGTTAAGGAACAAAAAACAAGATCATTATTGAGCACGTTCACTACTGCAGCAGAAATACTCCTATACCATAAGAATGCTACACTTAGTGTCTGTTTAAAAAAAACATCTTTGGTGTCGCTAAATAACTTTTTTATGATACATAATATACACAATAAGGCAAGTAACCTGTCTAAATAATAAAAAAGGCTATCTCCAATATTACACGCTACTAGGCCGAAATCGGTTAATAGAAGAGATTTATCGAAACATTGGTGTCACACTATGACCGAAACGTCACTTACAAATACGGTAATATAGTCCGGCCTGTACCGAACGAGTCGGAACGACAGTCGCGGACGCTTACACCTCGTTCATGGCAATTAATTCAGCAAGTGAATATTGCCGTGGCTAAAACAGATAATAGTTGCGGTCAAGATGGCATATGGTGTTAGGATGAGGCATTCTGATATTGACATAATGTGTGTTTTTAAAAAGGGTTTAGCAATATTGATAATGGTAAGAGATATTTCCTTTTGAATCAAAGGGTGGCGAGGCGAAAGTAACTTAGGGTTGAAGGGAGACCATATCTGGTTTATATTAACCACTGACTGTCTCGTTGGATTAGTGGTCGTAAGCGCGACTACTGATCATGAGGTCCCGGTTCGAGTTCCAGGTCGCTCCAAAAATTAGCGATTGGGTTTTTCGTCAAAAATTCTCAATAGAATCCGGGAGTCAGGAATTAGGCGGTTTTTTTGGCTCGGAAAGTCGTTGGAACTGCGCCTGATCTCTCTCCGGTCGTTTCGGATTGCCGTCCCATCGAACTATGCTAGTGAGGGAATAGAGAATAGAATACTATAATACATAGAATAGAGCGTGTACGTTTGCTTGCGCACACACTTGTCCACTATAATTCTGTCCCACTGTAATTGCCCGCCGTGACCGAAATTCGGTTTGTTGGAAGTTAAATTAACATTTAAAAAAGTACCAAGATATTTTTATAAAAATATGTGTATTTAATGAGAGCACAATAATATTCGAAAAGAAAAACTGCAAAAGTAAAGCTTAAACTGAATGGTACTATTGCTTGATCAAATTTTTCAAGATCGACTTTTTATAAAAATTTATCAAAATCTGTTAATTTTTGATTGCGTATTTTTCAAAACGCTTTTTTATTTTTTATTACATTTAAATGTCTGCTATGCGTTTGATAACCTTATCATAACCACCAATCGCCATTATGAACTTTAAGCTTGGTAAGGAAATAATTAAAATTAAGTTTATATTTTTTTATAGGATAAGGGTGACAGCGAGCACACAGTCCAACTGGTGGTAAGTGGTTACTGTGGTCCATAGATATCTACATCTATCCTTGTTTGTTAATAAAATGCAGATGCGCTGTCAGCCGTGAGGACTAAGATGGAATGCTTCTTTTCCAGTATAAAGGGTCTCCGGTTCTCTACACTCACCAAATTCACTTACCAATATATAATATATAATTAAAATAATTGGAATTATTATATTTACAGCATGCACGAATTTTATAGCTTATGGACGGCACACTGGCACACTCTTTTTGTACAATAGATTTACGACTGATTTTTCAATCTTCAAATAAGTTAGTTAGGTACCTATTCTTAGGATAAAAACATCAACAAATAAAAAATAACGGTTGTATGAATAAAATAGTCCAGTAATTTCACTTTTATACCCAATCAGCTTCTTTATAATTTATTTGAAATTTATTTTATGGTTATCTTTTATTTGACGATTGAAAATCGGCCCTAAATGCAATCAAATGAAATAAATAACTTTAATTAAATAAAGTATAACAACAAATTGTTACGGTTTTTGATTAGAATGTCCATTGTGATAAGCTGATATGTGTGAAAATGTAACAAAGAGTGATGTACAGAGCTAAATTATAATATTAAGTAGGTACCTTGCGTGGTCTGCAAGCTGGCCCTTTAGCAAGCATCATTCTAGCCTCATTTTCAGCCGCAACGGCTTCTTTCACGGATTGAGGAGGCCACTTCTGATCTCCACGCATGTTGACGCCTCCTGTTTACAATTACATATACGTCAGGTGTATGGAAAATTATAACTCAAACTGTAAAAAAGTACAACTTGCAAATGAAAAAGTGAACGAACATTTGTAGGAGTTTTATAGGTAAGATTAGTACTTTTTATTCCACGCATCAGAGCGAAAGCGAAAAGGTAATGCTCTAATAAATGTATGCCATTACTTTATTTATTCTCGAGGTTGTATTCTCTCAGGTTTTTTTGGTTATTACTGACAATCAGTGTAATGGTTTCGCCACAAATCGTGCTGAGCACAGAACACAATTACTCTAGTGCTGAGTGATGGCCTTTATTGGCATTTCATTGACGTACAAAATTGAATGTGTAGTACACACTACACACTACACATACACAAAACGTAGTGATTATATTCTCTTTGGTGTGCACGTCAATGATGTGTGCCAAAATAAAGTATTTCTTTGAATTAAAAGAGAAGCCATAATTTAAAATAAGAAGAAGAGTTTCTTTCTTTTTTTAGTAAAAATACATATATAATAAAAGACAACGTGGTAGAGCCCCACTGCAACTATATTATGGTTGTACACGAAAAGGTCGGCTGTACTGGGAAAAGCGCGTACTTTTCCCAGTGCTGCTCACAGAATCTCATAGAGTGTAAAGAACCGGAGACCTCTTTTCACTGGAAACGAGACATTCCAATTTAGTTCTCAGGGGTGGCAACGCCAGCCGATCACTGGGCCGGAAGCAGGGCCTGCATGTCACCCGCCAAGGCCAAGGCCGCGGGTAGGGGAGGGCCCTCCTCCGCCGCCACCGCCTCTATGGCCACCGCCGCAGCTGCAACTGCCGCCGCCGCCGCTGTCACTGTCGCCGCCGCCGCCGCCGCGACACCGACGCCTGCAGAGGGGCGCCCCGTGGAGGAAGCTGAAATGGAATGCCTATAACGGCCCCATTAAGCTTCCTCCAGGCGAATATCAACCACTGCGCCTGCGCTCAGGATCTGTTGCTCCAGAGCATGGCGCAGTGGTCGATTAACATCGCTGTGGTCGCTGAGCCGTATTCTGTCTGGCCTAGGAAGGACTGGGTGGCGGACCTTAACGGCTCAGTGGCCATCATTTCTTCGGCCGCCGCCGGTACCCCGACCCTTGAAGGTGTGAGGAGGGGTCAGGGGTGCGTAGCAGCACGGTTCGGGGAGTTCGTCGTTGTGGGGGTGTACTTCTCCCCGAACCGATCTCTCGCCGAGTTCCACAACTCTCTTGCAGAGCTGAGAGCAGTCGTCGTCGGAAGCTATCCCCTCCCCGTGCTTGTCCTCGGGGACTTCAATGCCAAGAACTTGGCTTGGGGTTCTCGTCGTACAGATGTGCGGGGTAGGATGGTGGAAGACTGGGCTCTGGAGACAGGCCTGGTCGTCCTAAATCGGGGTTCTGTCCCCACGTGTGTGCGGATGCGGGGCGAGTCGGTGGTGGACATTTCGTTCGCTAGCCCCGCTCTGTCGCCGCGTGCCATTGACTGGCGAGTCATGGAGGGGGTGGAGACCTACTCCGACCACCGGTACATCCGGTTTGACGTCTCCACCCAGCCCTCGAGCGCGCCAGTCCAACAGGCCCCGAGTGGTCCGCGTTGGGCGCTGAAGCAGCTGGACCGGGAGCTCCTCCTGGAAGCCTCGATCGTGCAGGCCTGGGTGTCATCACCGGATAGGCCTGCCGACGTCAATGATGAGGCAGGGTGGTTCCAGGAGGCCATGTCCGAGATATGTGACGTGGCAATGCCCCGCGTCCGGCCAGGAAGCGCCCGGCGCCAGGTGTATTGGTGGTCGCGTGAGCTGACGTCTCTGCGCGAGGCGTGTGTCGCCGCGCGGCACCTGTACGCCAGGCATCGCAGGCTCCGCATTCGTCCACCGAATGCGGCAGCCATTGAGGCGGAGCTGTACGAGGGATACAGAGCGGCGAAGACCGCCCTCCGGGAGGCTGTCATGCGGGCCCGGGATCGGGCCCATGAGGAGATGCTGGAGACTCTCGACAGAGATCCGTGGGGGCGCCCTTACAAGATGGTGCGGGATAAACTCCGCACCTGGGCCCCCCCGCTGACGCAGAGTCTCCGGCCTCAGCTCGTGGAGGACGTGGTGAGCGCTCTGTTTCCTGCGCGAGGGGAACATCCGCCCCCGCCTATGGCTCCGCCACCTGCGGTGCCGGAAGCGGACCACCAGGACGACGACGACGGCATCCCGGAAGGGACCGGGGTAGACCTGAGAGTGGCGGTACGTAGGCTTAAGGCCAGGAATACCGCCCCAGGACCCGATGGCTTGCCTGGCAAAGCCTGGGTCCTGGCCTCGGAGGCTCTCGGGCCCCGACTGGAGGGGCTCCTAAGCGCATGCTTGGAGAGAGGCCAATTCCCGCTTCGTTGGAAGACGGGGAAGCTGGTCCTCATTCGGAAGCCGGGGCGCCCTGCGGACTCTCCGTCCGCATACCGGCCCGTGGTGCTGCTCGACGAGGTGGGCAAGCTCTTTGAAAGAGTCATTGCAAACCGCCTCGCCGAGCACCTTGCGGGGACGGGGCCGGATCTTGCGGAACACCAGTTTGGTTTCCGCAAGAGGCGCTCTACGGTGGACGCCATCATGCGCGTGAGAGCCCTCACGACGTGGGATGCAGTGGCCAGGGGGGGGGGGGGGTTGTTTTGGCGGTGTCTCTCGACATCGCCAACGCCTTCAACTCCATGCCCTGGAGCTGCATTAGGGAGGCACTCCGGTATCACCGGGTGCCGACCTATCTCCGTCGTATAGTCGGGGACTATCTGACGGATAGGGCCGTCATCTACCCCGGTCGCAACGGTGAGTGGAACCGGCGAGAAATGTCGTGCGGTGTCCCACAAGGTTCGGTTCTGGGGCCGCCCCTGTGGAACATCGGTTACGACTGGGTGCTGCGCGCCGACCTCCCTACCGGCGTCAGCGTAGTTTGCTACGCTGACGACACGCTGGTACTGGCACAGGGGGGTCGTACGAGGCGGCGGCGGAAAATATGACACGCGGGGTTGCGATAGTCGTTGAGAGGATCCGGCAGCTGGGTCTTGAGGTGGCTCTGCACAAGTCCGAGGCCATGCACTTCCATGCTCCTCGGAACAGGCCACCACCGGGATCCTCAGCGATGGTAGGAGGGGTATCCATCGGCGTCGAGTCGACGTTGAAGTACCTAGGACTCGTCCTCGACGGCCGATGGAACTTCGTTGAGCACTTCCGACGTTTGGCTCCCAAACTGGAACGGACCGGGGCTGCCTTCAGGCGGCTCCTGCCGAACCTGGGGGGGCCAAACGCCTCCTGCCGGAGGCTCTACGCGGGGATTGTGCGGTCCATGGCCCTTTACGGGGCCCCGGTGTGGGCGCGTGGTTTGGCGCGGCTTGCCGTCCACCACCTGAACGCGCCCCAAAAGGTGGTTGCCGTAAGAATGGTTTGCGGCTACCGCACGATCTCCCGCGAGGCAGCGTGCCTCCTTGCCGGATTGCCGCCATGGGATCTGGAGGCGATAGTCCTCGCGCGCCTGCACGAATGGCGCGCGGAGGCACTATGCCGGGTGGAAACCCCGCTGCCGCGGCAAGTTGTCGTGCAGCGGACAGACTTCCGGCATGATCTCATGGCGACATGGAGAGAGCGACTGTCACAACCCCGTACTGGGCACGCCACTATAGCGGCGATAAGACCCCTCTTTGAGGAGTGGCTTGAGAGACGCCACGGCGTCCTCACCTTCCGCCTGACGCAGGTCCTCACCGGACACGGTGTGTTCGGGAGGTTCCTGCACCGAATCGGGCGAGAGGAAACGCCCGGGTGCTCCCACTGCGAGGATCGACCGGAGGACACGGTGGAGCACACCGTGGAGGTGTGCCCTGCCTGGGCGGAGCACCGCCGTGTCCTCGTAGCGGCGATAGGCGGCGGCGACCTCTCGCGTCCGGCCCTGGTCGAAGCCATGGTCCGGAGCGAGACGGAATGGGATGCCGTCACCACCTTCTGCGAAGCAGTGATGCGGAGCGGGAGAAGGAGAGAGCAGCAGCTTTCCTTCCCGGCCGCCGCGGGAGACGCCCTGGGCGTCGGGGGCTACGTCGTGGCCCCCGGCCACCGTAGGCGCGGGCCTGTGGACGGCGAGCAATGGGTATCTCGCCGTCCGTCCGTCTAACGACGACAGGCCGTGTCGACGGCGCGTTTTGTTCCACGCGCGCCTCAAAGAGCTGTCAGCAGTGTGAAGGGGCCCGCAAGGGCCGACGCCTGCCGGGGCTGCGGGCTGTTCGAAAGAGATACCGCGGCTCCGGAACGTAAGGGCACTGAAGGAACACGGATGGTTTTTAGTCAGTAAGAGTCTGACACTCCCTTCCGCTCCACCCAGAGCGAAAGGCGTCATTTGATGATTTTCCATCCGCAAAAAAAAAGGGGTGGCAACGCATTTGCATTTTGATTCTTAATCTAGACAGTTGCAGATGTCTATGGACCACAACATCCACTTACCGTCACGTAGATTATGTGCTCGTTTGTCACTCTTATTATTAAAAGAAAAATACACGCGATTCACTCAGCTCAAACTACTTTTACCACATTCTCCTCAAAGATATCAGTGTCGATCTTTTGAACTAAGTCCTTCAGCTAAACCTTTGTCAGGTTTAGCTGAATTTTATCAAAGCTTTTTGGAAAACCTATCATAATAATATAACTATGAGTAAAGATTGCTATAAATTGTTTTTAGAATAAAGTATCTCCAATTAGGCACATCAATATCATGTAATTGATTTTATGACTTAACATGAAAATGCCAGGCCACACAAATCAAATATAATTGAGCAACCAGCAGCTACATATATGAATGTTTAGGTAATATATATATTTCGGATAATAATAACATTCGGATAAAATATTGTAGTATAATATAAATTCCCTGAGAAAACGCTTAGTTTTAATTTTCATAAAAGAAATTTATAAAAAAAATATGAAACAGACGATATTATATTAATTTATTTCGAGGGTTTGGCAACACGTCTATATGTTACCGGCCGTTTGGTTGAAACGCTGCGTGTTGCTGGGTTCGATCCACCCACTGAACAATAGCTTTAGTAAACTATTTAGTAATCTGTGACAATAGTTTACTTTAGTAAACTATTTAGTAATCTGTGACAATAGTGTGGCCTGCAAATATTTTTTCAGATTTTTACCATGTACAATTTATGAGGAAAAACCTCCATGATACAAGAGGAATTCCTAATGTAGGGTTAACTTTAAAAAATAAATAAAAATACAATAAAAAGAAATGAGATGCCCTATTTTTACTTGTTTAGATAATCACTTTGAAACTTAATGAATATTTGACATCATTATAAATTAGTGATTTCTGACTCGTAATGAAGTAAAATATCATTAAACTATTCTCAGTCTGTCCGTCTGTTCCACTGGATCTTTTAGTCTTAAGTCTAAAAAGTAAAAGCAGACTTCGAACAACTAAAAAGAATAATTTCATATTCCTAAGACGATGCAAAGTTATAAAGCAGTAGAATTAAAAAAATACTTTTTAGTTTAATTTAAAGGTAATTTAAAACCCTTTAAGTGGATTAAGGAATATCACCTTTTTTAACGTCGTCTAAACTCTAAATAGGTCCGTTAAAAACTTCAATTCAGGTGGAATTTTATCTCCAAATTTATATGGGACCACCCCTAAAGTATAAGATAAAACCTATTTAATAAATAAATGATCAAAATCGATTCACAATAGTCGAAGATGCATAACATAATTGTTAATCTCCTCCTTTTTTGAAGTCGCCGATTATTTTATATCTGTACAGAATGAGATTGCAACTCTGATATAATCAATGTTTCATTGTTATTAGTTGTACCCGCCATAAATCAAATGTTTTCGGTTTTACATTAGTGTTATTAAATTAGCGTTGCGCGCCATAACTGTCATAATAATTCTAAGTTACTGCTTCCTTTGTAACCTATAACAGAACAGTGTTATTAGATATATCGGTATATATTTATATGTGTAATTCTAATGCTTTATTTTATGATTAATGCATTTTTGTATAATATTTGCTTCATATATTTTTTATTTATCTTTAAAAATCTTGAATTCCTAAAACGCGTTATAAAAACCTTACGACTTTCAGCAGGTGTAGGTACTAAGTACGAGTATGAAAGCTTTAACGTGTTCCAAGTTACTTTTCTAAAATATGAAGACGCAATTTTAAAAAAACAATAAACTAGCAATCTTTTATAATACCCATATTGTAGGACCTGTCTTTTAAGCATTTTATGAGATTTAATATAGCCATTGTAAATTGTATAGCGCATCTGCGTCTTTCATTCTATAATTTTGATGGATCTGCATATTAAGTGTAGAAAGTTTCAGGCTTAAAATTATTTTCTATTTAAAAAAATATCAACTAGTAATCCTATTAACCCATTTTATGCGATTTAATCTAGTCATTGTAAATCGTATCTTCTCGTTCTTTATCATTGTAGTCTGTTATGTGAAGAAAGTTTCAGGTTGGAAATTGTTTAATTAAAATCTTTTACAAAAATTTACTTCGCAAATATCCGCGTTATAAAATAAAATGATGTGTCTTACCTAGTATGAAGAAGCACCTCCCGCCCTCCCTCAATTGCAAAGTAAATTTTTGTAATTAATAGAATCAGGCGTTACTTTGCGGAAATCCATTATATAAAATCAATTGTTTAATTAACAAAAAGAAACAGTCTGATACCGCTTATATTTTTTTAAACTTTCGCTGCATATACACACTGTCCGAGAAGAAACTGCATGCTAAGTCTAGTTACTGTGATGTTTATGCTGTTAGCCTATGCGGCTCTTACAGCTTCATCGAACTCAGAACTCGGAGTTCAAGCCTCTTTGGTGGGGGGATAATATTGTGGTTCTGACGGCTAACTCGTATCGTTCGATGTTCTGGATGGTGGGAACCGCCCAGGAACGCGGGTGTACGGTATGTACGCGGTGTGGAGGGGTGTGCGACGCGCCCGTCTGCGGACTCGCTGCGTCCCATCCGTTGTTGTCTTAACAGTGTTTGTGTTTGTGGTACAAAGGGATTGTGTAGTGGTTGTGTAGTGTTTGAGTGTGACTGGCCGGCGACATTTCGTTCGTCGGAATCTAGCGGAACAGGGGTTTCGATTAGAACGTTACGAGGCCTCCGGAGACTGTCCGTAACGTTCGGAGTCGGAGCGTAGGTGGTTGCGTTTACCACTAGCGGGTTGGGATGTGTCTCGGCCCTCTCGAAATAGCGCCGAGTCATACCACAGTCGAATGTAACTCCTAGGTATTTGGCGGTTGGATCTGGCGGCCGTACTGGGTGATCGTACCTAACGATTTCTTGGGACTTCTGATTTGACGATTGAAAATGGAGATCTTTTGAAAGCGTATTGCTACACTTTTCTCAGGATTCACTCTTCATAAGCGGAACCAATCGCCTGACGTTGTTGGCGTTGACGGCAGTTTGGAGCATCTTAGTGAGGTATCTTTTATTGTGATGGGCGACGAAAAGTGCCGTATCATCTGCGAAAGGAGCAGTGTTCACTACTGGGTCCTTCGGGATGTCACTCGTGAAGAGTGTGAAGAGTAGTGGGGAGTCCTCTCCCCACTACGGAGCTTTGATTTTGGGGCCTGGGGAAGTGCACTGGCCGTGAGGCGACAAGTGCCGGTGGTTTCACCCAGGAGTTGGGTTTTGGCGCAGAAGGCGTGGGAGGGCCTTCCGGACCTTGCTCGCCGCCCCGGCGACTGGAGCGGTCTTGGTGGCAATTTGAGGTCAGGAAGTGAGTACCGTGGACGGTGTTAGTTCGGGAGCAGGCAGCCGAGCGCGAGACACTGGCTAGATCCGCGCGTCCGGGACGGGTTCTACCTCCGCGCTGTTTCTTTCGCGGCGGTTTGGAACACCCGCGATAATTCGCTGGATGTCCCTCTTCGCGGCAATTGACGTAGCGCGGGGGTTCAACCGTCTCGGGCGTGCAGGGGCAGTCAGTGGTGCCGTGGTCACCTAAGCACTTGAAGCACCTAGGCCTGGGGTAACAATTTCTGGCCGAGTGGCGTACAATAGATCGGTGGCCCTATTTTTGGGGGTTTCAACTGCAATCCTCGTTAGGTTACAGATGCGCCTAATGTTAAATATTTCCTTGCCTTCCAAAGACAGGTCCAGAATGACCAGGCATAAATCTAAAAATCGTTTCTTGTCGGTTTGGCGGTGCATTCTATACACCTTCCGGACGGGGAGATTTTGGGTTTTGAGGTCACTTAATATGTACTCAGTCTTGAGCTCTTTAGTAAGATCGCGGATAACCACACGAAGGTGACGCTGCTCTGGGAGGGCGTATGTGTGGAAGCTTATTTGCTGGCCTCGCAGGTGACTTGTTACACTGCAGAATCCCTCGGTTGAGTTTACAAACATACAAATGCCCTGACCGGCGTTTTGCACCTTTGGGCAATAGATTTTTTGGAGTTCAACCTGTATGATAGGTTGCTCAATTTTGTTCTGTCTTGGATTATGACGGGATTCGTCTTGGAACTAGTAGCTGCGGGCTTGGTCGCAGGCTTTGGGACTTGAACGCGCATCGCAGGGGCTGACTTTTTTGCCGGAGTGGCGGTGGTGGACGAGGGAGCCGAGTTAGGCTCGGCTGCCTTTTTATGGGCTTCGTGTTTGCGCTTTTTGCCCTGGACGAGGGTGAATGAGCCTGGGCCTTCGTCTTCGGGCTTGAGTGGGACGCGCGTATCTGTCTCCATGTTGGAGCCTGATTCGGCATTCGAGAAGACCAGAGACGGGCCGCGGGTGGACTTCCGTGATGGAAGGCGTGGGGGACGTGACGTCGTAAAGAGAGTCGCTGGACACGGGGGTCGTAGGTCCTGTGCATGACATAAGGTCGTCACTCTGCACAATCGGACGGTCAGCAGGGAGCCAGACATGCTGGGTAGAGGGACCGGTTCGAGCAGGGGGTTCGGGCGCGGATGCGAGCTCGGGCGTGGGACTCGCGTTGCGCTGTGCGAGAAACACAACCCAAATGTCGGGGCAGACGGGAATTAGAAAGTCGGTGAGTTCATCGATCGTAATCGACGCCTTTCGGCGGGGAGGTGTGTGCCACCTTGGTACGCTAGGGTGTGTACCTAGCTGTTGCCTAATGCAACAAGCAACACAAAAATTAAAAACGATGGCCACCTCTTAGGTAACGAGTGTGTTTCACTCTACTTACGGTTGCCGATACCATTACCAAGAAGCCAGGAAGGAGAGTTACGCACAAACACTCTTTGCACTACAACAAACGTCCGTTTCACTTCACAACAACACAGTGACTCTGCTGTCTTCCGGGACAACGTGCTTCGCACACCACAATGAGGACACCAAGACAGCAACCAATCACAGAGCACCGAGTAAGGCGGTGTATAACGGAAAAAAAATTTGCGTATGAGCTAAGAGAGTGGAGTGACGGGAGTGAACTCGACCAACACGCCCGAAGTCTACAGTACCCAAGCGCAGTATCACTGAATCACTCAACCACTGCATGCTAAGCAAAATAGATTTGCACTTAAAAAAGGAAAAACATAAAAGGGCAGACTGACGCAGTTCTTTGACTAGTATCAACAGTTACCTTTGGACGCAGTTGGTGGCGTGCTCACTGGTGCTCACATACGTAATATATTTTAATACCTTTTTAAATAAATAAAACAACATTTTGTAAAATAACACTGATAATTTTTTTGGATATTATATTATCACCCTTCAAGTTTCAGTAAAGTCCTAACACTGGCAATTCTTTATAGTATCTAGTTAGTGAAAATCATTATTTTATTAGGCATATCATATTAGTTACGAAGATTTACTATGAATAAATCAGAGTGACGATCGCATGACACAATACTCTCTACAAGTCAGGCATTGGGATCTAAAATAAATCCATTTTTCGAGATGATTATTTCGTTTTTTTTTATTAATTGAAGTGACAAACGACTGATGCCCATGTACACCTGCAAACAACCTAAAAAAAGGTTATTTACAGATGCGTTATCACTTCTGGGGAATAAGAAGGGATGCATGACAGCCTGTAATTATACTGGTTCTCTATATTCTTCAGACTGTAATACAGAAGTGCATGCACTACTCTTTGGCGGCAGATCTAGGTAAGAGTGTGGCAGCTATTCAGACTGACTTTTAGGCAGTGAAGGAGTCCTACTACTTAGAACAATTATTGAAGTAGGATTTGTTGGTAATTGGATGTTGTGACACCTACATCTATATTCGATAAAGCATCAAAATGCGGATGCACCCTGGCGACTAAGGTAAAATTTAGAATTAGATTTATATATAATTAGAATTTAGAAAATAAAGATTTCCGGTTCTTGTCACTCACTGTTCTACCACAATTTTGGTAACATATTACACCTTTCATAACTTGAGGCTTGCTTGACTAGAATTTTTGTAATTTAATGAATTAAATTAAGAAAGTAACAGTTTTAATTTTAGAAACTGATCTGACGTACCTTTAAATGAAGCTGTTGCTGGTTGGCTAGAGAAAACTGGTGATGGTTTCTGGTGAATAGGAGTCTGTTGGCGAAGAGTGATGACGGACGGTGGCGGCTCAAATTGCTTCTGCGGCGGCTGGTACGACGGTTCTGAATACTGTGGTTGAGGCGAGTATTGTGGCTGGAAATATAATATTTATAATATAGCGGCGTTTTATATAAGTATCGCTAAGCCCGAGTTTTTGTTATCGATCAATATAAAATATTATCATAATATAATTTAGACTTCACTTTGTAGTACTACACTAGTAATGTTTTTGTTTATTTATTTTATAATTATGTTTAAGCATACACTGTTTGATGCTTGGATCTACGATCTCGTAGGACCTAAAATATGGTCCATTTAAAAGAAAATACGATTATTCTGCAGAAAAATTCATTGTGTTATTACAAGGACTTTAACCTAGTTGTCTGAACTATGAATTGTTAATAAAATCAACGTTTTGTACTCTATTAACTTATGAGCTGTCAAGCAATACTTAATTGTAGTGCCTACCAATGAAGTCCGGTCGAAATTCAATCACTGAATTGGTTAAAGCGTTGTGTATTGGAAAATTATGTGTGTGTACATTCACTTTATTTTACTTGCCTTAGCAGCAACATGCACATTATTTTTTATGTAACTCAATAGCACAGTAATTTTCGAAAGATTTAAGTTTCATTCCACTCCTTTTCAACCAACTGCAAAAGGGAGACTTTTTTTTTGTTTGTATGTTACGCGATATCTTCGCAGAGTGAACCAAATTTGATGATTTTTATTAAATATTATTAATATTATTAAACAGGTTATACTTCAAGGATATATAAATATAAATTTAAATAAAATAAAAATCCATATAAATTTGGAGAAAAGATTGCATAAGGGTAGCAAATAAATAATTTTTGGTATAGCAATTTGAAGTAGGTTTTTACTTTTTGTTAAAAGTTGGAAGTATATACTAATCAAACTGATAAATAGGAAATATTGAAAAATATACGACAATTTTTGTTGTTCACGTATTTATATTTAAAAAAATATATAAATATGTATATAATTTTCGATTCAATTAAGTAAATTATGGTAATACATATTCTTATCGGTAAATAAATCTGGTAAATAACATCGGATGTATTACGTACACTTGTTTTTTAATATTCCGTGTATGCATACATTAAAGAAGAACATACAGTCTACAACCTCCTCCTTTAACTACATTAACGATTTACAATTACAACAAATTCAAGTTAAATTAATATAGCTTTTATAATAATAAGCTTTTATTAAAAATAAGCTTTTATAAAATCAAATGGTCAATGAAAACGGTGTTACAAATTAAAACATGACATGTAGGTACTTGACATTGAGTTAAATGTGAGATATTACCACTACGTTTTAGTTATTGGTATACTTACGTCATTATTACAACTGTATGCGAGCAGATTATAAAGGTGAGTGTGATGAAAAATTAGGTTATTCACAAACCAGGTTATGTATGATCTTTTTATTCATTAGCACAGGTCGAAGATATTAAAGATGCGTAAGAAGATTAAAACTGTACAACAAACTGCGACGACGATGAAACCTCTTCACGAGTACCTGAGGGGAAGCAGGGGCTGGTACAGGAGCCCAGCGGCTGCTCTGTGGACGGTAAGGCTGCGGCGACGGCGGGCCCTGGCGGTAAGAGGCAACTGGGGATGCAGTAACACCTGGCCCGACCGGGATCAGCTTACTCAGCCCTGTGGCCTCTTGACGCTTGCCCTCGCAGAATGCCGGTTGCGATTGGGGCACTTGATACTGGGGCTGGGGTTGATACTGGGATTGAGGTTGATACTGTTGCTGGGATTGAGGTTGATGCTGTTGCTGGGATTGAAATTGAGATTGGGATTGTTGTTGGGGTTGTGGTTGATATTGGGACTGGTAGTGGGGCTGGCTTTGGGCCTGTGGTTGAGCAGGGGATGTGTACTGTTGCGATGGAGAGTGCTGAGCGTTGTTGTAGAATGTGGGATCCTGCTGTGGGTACAATGATGTAACTATTTGGGGGGCTATCCATAAAACACGTCGCATGCACGATTATATTTAAATCAAAATATTCTACATAATTTCCTAAATTATGAAGAAATTGGAATTGAAATATAGGCCCATTTAGTATTGATTTCCTGCTTGGTTTACAAATAACCCCTCTTCCATAATTCAGAAATCAATGAACATTATTTATTAAATAAAAAATTTTCACCATATAAAATTTGTAAGACTAATATATTATAGTGTATAATCACTAAACACGTTAATATTTAATAAATGTACAAAGATTTCTTTTTTTCGTACATAATTGCGATAATTTAAAAGCACTATTATTTATAGAAATTTGATTGCATGCAATTATTGTGCTTCTTGCCACCTTCAAGCGTAAACATGGCTATGTGCAGCTTTAACAATGTTTCTTTTATATACAGATAACTAATGAGGTCTGTGGTAATCTTTCTTCATTAAATGTTTATATTTTAATTATTATTACCTGTTGAGGCTGATGGTAGCCGTTTGTTTCGGGCGTTGGCGGCCACACAACTTTCTTTTGGCCTATAACAAAATAATTGATTGAATTGTTGTATAATATTATGTGATATGATATATCCTAATATTTAAAAATAATTTTTGGCTGTTCGTATTTTATACGATACCGTTCATCAGAGTACGGTAAAACTTTGTCAACTTATTGCTTGCACTTGCGCGAACGTGATAGGCATAGTACAATTAACTTCGTCTAGGTGGCGCGCGTATCGTACCGACAAATTTATTTCCAAATTATACATATAACATTCAATGACTGCATTAGTATAATCATTCCCAATTAAAAAATATAACTGTTCCAAACTTAAAACCACATTTTCTTCTTCTGCGGCAGCAATGCTCCGGGTACTAGCCAGTTATAACAATTAACAAGCCTCATAATCGACAAATGATGGTGTGTTAAAGTAAGTTTGTAATAAAGTCAAAGTATAGTTACAGCCTAAATACATCCCACTGCTGGGCCCATCGCATTTCTGTTAGAGTTTTAGGGCAACAGGAATGCGTGTTTGAGGACTTCTCTTAGAAATATATTTTCTAGTTTCTCAGACATGCAGGTTTCCTTACCATACGTATTTATTAACCGCTGAGAACTTGGTAAATCGCTTCGCGCTTCATCGTTGAGCGCTTTTTTTAAACGCATTAAGTGATAAAACTCACTAAGCTTATCAATAGCCCGTTTACTCTTGCCATTTTTATATGTAGAATAAGGGTGACATACGATCACGCAGTCCACAAGATGTTAAGTGGATGATGTGGCCAGTAGAAATCTAAATTTATCCTCAATTAAGAAGTCAAGGATAAAGATGGTATATCTCGTTTCCAGTATAATAGATCCCCGGTTCTCTAGACTCACCATACGAAACATCATTAAACTGCTATTTTACGTAAGTAAGACCGTGGACCTTTCCCGGTCGAGCTAACGCATTCGTGCTACAGACATAATTATTCCACTCTGTGTGCTTAGCCTAACTGAAATACCACGGGTCAAGGAAATATATTATTACTACGTTGATAAACTATGATATTTACATTAAAGATACTTAAATCCCATGTTTTAATAGGAGACATCATTACCAGTGCGAGGTTATAGGCCCTACACTCATCAATTACCCCATTGTTACGAGTACAGGCGAATCTTTTAAGGACTATTAAAGCAGAAGAAATAATATTTTTACCATATTTATTTATAAGGGTGAAAAACGAGCACACAGTCCACCTGATAGTAAGTGGCTGCTGTGGCCCATAGTCATCTACATCTATCTTCGATTACGACTCAAAATGCAGATGCGTCGTCACCCGTAAGGACCAAGATGGAATGCCTCGTTTCCAGAAAAAGGACACCCTTTTTCTCTACACTCACCATACAAAACATAGCAGCATTAAGCTGCTATTTTACGCTGGTTTTCTGTGAGAGCGTGGTCCTTCCCCGGTTAAGCCGACCCATTCGTGTTACAACTATACTAATAATAGCTGCAGCATGGCTCTACCACGTATATACATTATTTTGTTGTTCCATTTCTATGCGTTCCTTTAGCATGCAACCAATTATGATGAAACTTTGATTAGTTGTATTGCGCGTGCTCGCGATGGTTTCTGACAAAAAAGGAAGAGGCGTTGAAACGCATGTTGTGCACAAATAAGTATATAACATACTTTTTTTTTATAGGATAGCGTGACAAACGAGCACACAGTCCACCTGATGTTAAGTGGTTACTGTGACCCATAGACATCTACATCTATCCTCAATAAAGACACAAGATGTAGATACGTTGTCACCCGTGAGGACTAAGATGGAATGCCTCTTTGCCAGTAAAAGGGGTTTCCGGTTCTCTACACTCACCATACGAAACACAGCAGCGTTAATCTGCTATTTTACGTTGGTTTTCTGTGTGAGCGTGGTCCTTCCCCGGTCGAGCCGACCCATTCGTGCTACAACTATACTACTAATATAGCTGCAGCTTGGCTCTACCACGTAAAAAATACTGATACTGTATGTTATATTAGAATTTTCTTCAGTATGCGATATGTATTATATACAAAATTCGATAAATATTGCAATTCGGCTTTAAAGATACAGGAACGTTAAATCTAATTAGAACAACAGCTGAGTTAAAAAATATATATTAACATAAGAAAATATTGTAACTATCAACGTAACAGATCTCTGGAACGTTGTCTGATGACCACACACTTGTAATCGACGCTTCGGTATACTTATTATGACACATTCCGCTTTAAATTAGCCCGAACAACTCAGCATTGGATTTGAGCCAGAAAAAAAACTAACAATTTCTTTGATATGAACTAAAATGTCTACACTTAATAAAGGTTAAATTTCTTAAACTTGGATTTATTGTTGTCAATATAATGATTAATGTTGTTTTTTATTTTATTCTTTTTTTTAAAATGTTACCCCTACACTAGGATTTTTTTCCTGTATCGTGGAGGCATTTACAAACATAAATTGCACGAGGACAAACATCCCGGAACAATTATCTGTAGGACATACAAATACTTGTTCCGTGCGGGATTCGAACCCGCGGCCCTAACGCAACAACTCATTGCTAAGCCACTGCGCCACGGAGCCGTCAAATTTAATTTTGCGTATATGAAACTTTACAGTTTTTTTTTTATAGAATACGTGTAACAAATGGGAATGAGTCTACCTAGTGGTAAGTGGATGCTGTGGTCCATAGACATCTACATCTGTCCTCGATTAAGAATCAAAATGCAGATGCGTTCTCACCACTGAGGACTAAGATGAAATGCCTCGTTTCCAGTAAAAGGGTCCGGTTATCTATATTCACCATAAAACACAATAGCGTCAAGCCGCTATATTACGCTGGTATTCTACGAGAACGTGGTCCTTCGAGCCAACACAATCGTGCTACAACCATAATATAGCTCCATCATGGCTCTACCAAGTCATGTATAAATATTCATCGTAAAAATCACATCAAACGTAACAATATTTTTCTTATCAAATGTCTCGTCACGTGGGAAAACAACTATTATCCTACGTAATACACGGGATGGATACGTTTCACATTCCCCGTCCCTTAAATCCTGCTTGTTGCCAGGGCTTTTTCTCACAGTAAGCTTTCCTGTTGTCTGAGATATTTATTTGCTGAGAGTTCACATAATGTATATTTTAAAAACATAATTAGTATTTTATTTCGAGATGTGGTACTCAAGAAAAAAAGAGATAGCCTTAAAAATTTAGTTCGCGAGTAATTGGAGTACGTACGCCGCTGGTATTAATGTAATTATTAATTGCAATTTTTGAGTGTTTATTTAGCACGCGCTCGGAGATGAGGGAAAACACCCTTCACTTCCAAGTAATTAAAAATATTTCTAAGACATGTAAAGAACGGGGCTTCTCTTTCTTCCCCGCTTCACGATGCCTCACCATTAGGACGCATATATTTTTTGGCAAACGTTACGTTACTTGGAGCCTTGTTGACGCATGTCTATATTCTTTTAGACATGGACAATATCAAAAATGCAATTATGAATCAAATTTCTGTTTGCTCAAATTGTTCAAAAGTGGAGTATCCAAGAGTCATGGACGTGTCACAATAATCGTAGGTACCTAACTTAAATTAAAATTATATATTTCATACTTAAATAGATGTACATGTGACAAATTGAATATAATATTTCAATTATTTACCACTTGGTTTTTTAACGCAAGGAAAGCATTTAAAACAAATGTTAAAGCTCCATAAAACTAAAACGTGTTTCGAAAGAGGTGAATGTATGTAGTGAGACACACATGAAACAAGTTTTTGTAATCGAGTTTTCAGAAGTATTATCGGGAAAATTTTAGGCCAAATATCAACTGCAAATGTAAACAAGAATGGTTAGTAGTTTATGTGGAGGTTCTGTGTATGCAAATGAGAACTAATGGTACGAAAATGTAACTCACAATCAGGTAACAAAGAGGAAACACTCCTATCGCCAGCTCGCCAGGACAACGTGTGACTAGTTGGCTCGACCGCAAGGTGAGTATGTGCGCGAGTGTTCACCGCATATATTTTGAGAGCACAATTTTATGGTACAATTAACGTCGTCTCTTTCGAGCGTATTCTGTGTTTATAGCAAGGAATATGTAGACAATGAGCATGACTTTAGATACGTGACACGTTTAGGCGGGAATATATGCAGAAGTTCGATTGGAGTGTTCCATTGGAAAACAGCTTTAGTACGATATCTATTTGTTTATTTGCAAAACTTACATACTTTCGTTTTTTACGTATTTATATGTAAAAATTATGAATGTACATATATTTCTATTTACCATAATAATTAAATATCTTTTGTTATGGTTCATTATTATGGTAAATAGAAGTAAGTTTATGTTACGTTACGTTATGCCGGATGTAAAATATTTTTTTTGTAATAACTGTCGTGTAATGGCGACGTAAGAGAATCCACTACTCCATGTTATCCTGTGGGTGTTGTGAGAAGCGACAGAGAAACTGAAACAGGAGGTGGGCAGGACCTTTAGGATAAAATTCAAAATAATAAAAAACTTCGGTTGCTGACCTGCCTGCCAAACGTGGCAGGCAAATATTCCCCCAATGAGGCAATCTATGGAAGAGACCCAAAGAGACCTATGTTCGGTAGTGACCTTTAATAGGCCGCAATGTTGTTAATTATGATGATAATAATGCTGAATTGCGCGCATAATGTAAGTCTCGTGTTTTAGTAATGCCATTGTTTAAAAACTTAGATTTACATCGCTAATCAATCAAATATTGTAAATACCTAGGACACGATCACAATAATAACCTCATTAATTGAGTCAAGAATTGCATAAAAATTACATACAGCTTATGCAATATTTATAGGCATTTATTGCGGTCTAAGTTTTTGTGTATTTTTAAATATTAACTAATATAACTATTATGATATTTCCATATACAAGAAAAATGTAATTGTTTATTATTTCGTTTAGTACGTCTAGGTTACACTTATGCTATATTACAGAATATTGTTAGTTATTAGTATATTATAATAAATCTATATAAGTATGAAGGAAAACACATCAAGGCTTAATGCAAGAGTTTAGTAGGTCTGCTGGTATTACCGACTGATAAACTTGATCCATTATACTTTTCTATTGTGATTTCTATATCTACACTGATCATAGCGAACATTATTTATGTATGTGTTATGTACATTGAATAATTTAAATTTTACTACTGTGAGAAATCCAGCCGTTCGCACCTCGAATAAACTCGCATGCTCTTGCATCTCTCCAACGCTGTAGTAATATTAGCTGTTGATTCATAGAAGCTCGCGAAAGTGGAGTCGTCCGAAATAGTTTCAGGTGGGTATGAGAACTATATATTATTTTAACACTCGCAGATCACGGTTAAGCTAAAATAAACATTGTAAGATCGATGTCAGCTGATAAGCGAATAATTTATTTTGTGTTTTTATATTCTCTGAATTTAATATATTTTATGTATACCTACTTTACTTTTATACGGGGTAAAGCCATGCTGCAGCAATATTAGTGGTATAGTTGTAGCACGAATGGATCGGCTCGACCGGGGAAGGACCACGCTCTCACAGAATATCAGTGTAAAATATCAGCTTAATGCTGCTGTGTTTCGTATGGTGAGTGTAGAGAACCGGAGACTGTTTTTACTGGAACCGAGGCATTCTTCGAGGCATCTTTGTCCTCACGGGTGACGACGCATCTACATTTTGATTTGTAATCGAGGATAGATATAGATGTTTATGGACTACAGCAACCACTTACCATCAGGTGGACTGTATGCTCGTTTATCACCCTTATTCTATAAAAAAAAAAACTTTGTGAATTATAATGTAACATACAAATAAAGTTGAATATTTTTCATCCGTTATGTATGAGAATAAGAATTAGTATGTATTGGTAAGTTGCAATAGAGTTTGAAATTGTCATTCCCGTGTGTACTTTGTGGTAAACTGGCAAACTTTTTGGGGAGGCCTAAGTTCAGCAGAGGACTTGTTTAGTGTGTGGGGTATGGGTATATGATACATGTTCATATGATTGGGCTTAATAGAATCCATTACCATATATCGTCCCGTGGGTGTAGTAAAACTAATCAATGAGAAATACCATCTTCGGTTGCATAACCACTTTTTTTATAGAAAAAGTGTGACAAACGAACACAGACTCCAGCTCATGGTAAGTGGATGCTGTGGCCCATAGACATCTGCATACCTTGTCACCCTTGAGGACTGAGATGGAATGCCTCGTTTCCAGTAAAAAAAATGCTATTTTACGCTGGTATTTTGTGAGAGCGTGGTCTTTCCCCGGTCAAGCCGACCCATTCTTGCTACAACTATATTATAAATATAGCTGCAGCTTGGCTCTACTACGTAAAAGAGTGTTTCACACGAATGATTGTTATAATTTGGTATAGTTATGAAATGCGCTTACTCTAATCCTAATAATCCTAGATGTTAGGGCTCTTTTTCTGTCTAGCAGATATTGCTGCCGCCAAACAGCAGTGCGTGCACTGCTGTGTTCCAGTGTAAAGGGTATACTAATTACAGGCTGTGGGACATTCCATATTAGTCCTAAGAAGTGAAAACGAATCTGTAACCTTCTTTGTTTTAAGTTGTTTCCAGGTGTGCACGGGTTGCAGTGGCCACTTTCCATTAGGTGGGTTGTGAGTTCCTTCGTTACGTTAGTTTATTAAAATTTTTGACGGAGGTGGTTAGTTTTGCGCAGTAAAAATGTAAATTTGTTTTGGGGATAAACCTTGGTAAACCTTTCTTGAAATGTTTCATTTGTTATTTTTCTTTTAATTTTATTTAATATTGTTCTGAATTAATGCCTCAAAATTGATGTCCCCAAGCGTATTTTCAAAAGCATCATTGAGATTTGTGAAAATGGTTCATAACAGAGCATAGGTATATTCCAACTGATGGTAATTGTATGCTGTGGCCCATAAACATCAACTTTCGCGATTAAGAATCAAAATGCAAAAGCGTTGTCACATCTGAGGACTAAGATGTCAAGCTACATTCGTGCTGTAGTCATAATACGCTGCAGCGAATTAAAGAAAAAAAAGAAGTGTTTATTTTTGGTGTGTTTTTGTTTATATGTTTCTATATACATTTATCTGTTTCTGTGTAAACTTCTATAGCCTAAACAGCTTCACGGGTCGTTATACTTCATTTTTTTTCTAGAATCCGATGTGCCATAAGCTACTCTTCTGTCGACTTCAAAAAGGAGACGGTGGGTACTTAATTCGACTGTATGTTTTTTTTAATGTGTTTTACTTCATTACATTTTACTAGGTGAACCCATTTCGATTATTCTTTTTTTTTATTTGAAAGTTTGTACTTCACATGTGGTCTCATATGAATTGGATCAAGGTCAGACCAATATTTTTTGAGTTATCCTTAATAATTTATATTGAAGTCAGCTGTATAAAATTTTAAATTTTAAATTATTATGTAACTGTTACCATTAAGAACACATCACTGTGGTAAGGTTCTTCGTTTAAATATTAATTTCTTTATAAAAAAATTACTTCATGCATAGTGCATAAACATTTACACTTACTATTGTGTGATATTAATGTTATTAAGAGTTGATGATGACACAGACTTCGAAAGCTTGCCAAATAATTTCTACGAACTATAGGCGCGCTTGTCTACACAATGACACAAGTCAAGAAATTATTAACTTACTTACCGACCGACATTAAACTGAAACATATAATATAAATGAATCCTTTACATCTATAAAGAATTCAATGAATCACTGCCAGCTAAATGCGTTAGTTCTAGATCTACTGATATGTACTTTCAATGCACAATTTATTAATAGTTGCTTGTCGCTAGATAGTAATTTTATATCTAATACTACGTCATGGTTTAACAATACAAGCCAGAGAACATTTTAAACGACGTTAGTTAGGCGTACATTACGAGTGCAAAACTACGTCTACTGGTATTCCAGTACCTTTGGTAGCTTTCAAGAACTCTGAATAAATATGACTGGTTGTATTGAGTAAGCCGTTCCATCCTCGAACCGTTTCCTCCTTTCGTGGGGGCCAGCAGCTCTCAAATCGACGCTTGGCATGAACTAAGTTGTCCAAAATTGCTTGTATTTGTGTAGGGTCTAGCTCTGGCGAAGCAATTAAAAAGTTAATTGGCGTTAGTAAGCTCGTAGATAGGTTGATATTTGGATTCAAAATAACTCCGCACATTCTATTATCGCTAAGTAAGGTTTTGGGATTTAAATTCTAAAGTATTTACAATTGTTGTTTTATTTGCTTTTAATACAGGTTGGCCTCCGATAAATAGAGGTTTATCTTGACGTGTATTATCTCGCTACTGTTCATTTTTTACATTATTGTTACACTTACTGGGGAGTCCTTTGCGGTTGCGCTCCTCCTCTTCAAGCATTCGTAGAACGGCTGAGTTAGCCAGATTGGCTGGCTTATTAGTGCCTGGGTTATTGAAGTCGATTCTGTAACAAAATTATAGATATTAATACTCTCATATTTCAATACAAACAAAAATTTCCTGTAATGAATAAATTGTATCTTGCACTAAATATACTATTAATATACTAAACAAAGTCTCTTAACCGTTATACAATAACTTTCTTTGAACTTACGAGTTTTAAAAAGAAGTAAGTACTTATATTAAAAAAGAGTGATTGTTGTAACACGGAAAACTCGTGAGATCCGACGTAACATAAGAACTCGTGAGAGACGACTTTGAATCCAATTATCGAAGAATAAAAAATATATTATTTAACATACCCCATTTCTCACTCATACTCAATAAAATTTTAATATTAATTAATCCCATCTATACAAATAAATATAATTGAAGTGTCTGTTTGTAATGTTAAAATAACAGTTTTTTACTAAATGCATATGAAAGTATATACGGTACTAATAATAAAAAAAAAACAATTTTTAACATTTTGTCTGTCTGTTTATTCCGGCTAATCTCCGAAACGGGTGGACCGATTTTGACGGGACGGGACTTTCATTAGCAGATAGCTGATGTTATTAGGAGTAACTTTGGGTACTTTTATTTTAGAAAAAGAATGCAAAAAATTAAAACCCTTGAAATCGTAGTAAATTCTACGCGGGCGAAGTCGCGAGGGACAGCTAGTCAATCATAAATGTCAAAGTTTAAAGTTTAAAAAAGTTTTTAAACTATTATTTAATTATTTTCAGTTGTTTGAAGTCACGTTTAACTTTTTCTAATTCTTAATTTTAACCTTTAAGATTAAGGAATAATCACAAGATCGAATTTCACCTAAATAGTTACATTAAAACTACAAAAAAATAGAGGTTTTTCATTGTGAGGGGTGAAATTTTTTCTTCAAATTTATATAGGATCACCTCTGTAAAGTTAGTTAGTAATTAAAAAAAGTATTTAATAAAAAATATCATAAAGATCGGATCACAATTTACGAAGATATTGCGTACCATACATACAAAAAAATAAAATACAGTCGGATCGTAAACCTCCTCCTTTTTTAAATCAGCTAAAAAGAGTGCCAATAATCCTTAACCTCAATAATCCTTCTTTGGTAATGCAACCGTGAGTCAATGTTAAAACAACATGTAATGTTTTAAATCTTGAAGGTAAACATTTTAAAAGGTGTTGTATGTAGATAGTATAAATATTGGCAAATCAACTCAAAATATATAATAATTACAAAGATTATTTTAGTTTAGTTTAGTTTGTTTTAAATATTTAAATTCAATTTCGTTAAAGTTCAACCGTGTTGATAAGGTTACAAGTTTGGCACGTTTTAACTACAACACTTGCTCTTTCTGTCGATCAACTGTCAATATCCACTCCTTTCAAAGATTAATTGCAACTGTCCCCACCATTTTAATAATAGCTTAATTAAAGTCAATTATCTGTAACAGTTAATTCTCTTCTGTGAATTCGAAACCATGTAATTAGAAAGGTGTTTTTTTTATCTTGACAGGTTTTGACCGGTAAAAGCATTTTTTACTTCTTGTATAAAACGAAAAGAAAGATTTAAAGGTTTTTTATGTACCTAATGACAGTAAATAACTAATACAGACCATCTTTCATTTGTTATTTTAAACAGAGCGGATATCTGGTATTCTATTTTGCTCATTGTTGTGGTAATCAATGAAGTCTGAGCGATGGCTATTGTTCAATGTATATACACATACAGGGTTATTTTTCAAAATGTAGCCAAATTTTAACCTTAAGTTCCAGTACATAAATAATGATATACCGTAATTGCAGTTTTTAAAAATACGAGTGGGGTTTTACTTTAATTTGAAATTATCCAAAATTTTATGTGATTTATGGGCAACAACGTTTTTGCCTACCGATCGACCCTTACGAATATATGCGTGCGCAGTAAAAACAGTTAAAATAAGGCATTACCACGCATTTTGAATTTAAAAGATAAAAAGGACAGAATTCGATGACATTTTTAAATTAATATTTCTTCACCGTTTGCCTATATTACTTATTCTGAACTTTCTCTGTAAATTTGGCCGGTTATTGCAAAATAACCCTGTACAGGCATTCAAACATTTTTAGGTCTTTCAAATTCAGCTCTCTCAAATTTAACTTGCATTAGAAAAACTCCGGACATAATAAATTTAGTTACCTTGTAATACAGCAATGAATAAATGGAAAGAGAATAATAGTGAAAGTTACGTGTAGCCTGTAGATGCTTTCTTACGTCGTCTGTTAGTACGGACAATGTGATCAATTATGTACCGGTTTGCTGATATAATCTAAATGCTATTATCTCCTAGCTTTAATGATGTACTCCTACCTGAATATTTCTGACGCAATTTAATTTATATAAGAATATCTTCGACTAATATTTATTGTCACAATGATATATATTAAAGTTAACATACATATATACAATAACGTATTACTTGTTGTTGCAGTTCCACTGAAAATGAGGAGGGCGTTCACATATCCTAACTATAAATCCATTTTTGAACTGTGTGGTTTAGACAGCTGAATAGTAGTTCATCGTCATCATCACAACCTATCAAAAGTTCCCACACAAATTGCTTCGTAGATGCGATATTTGCCGTTGTTGCCAAGTTTGGCAGGTGGGTTGGCAACCGCAGTTTTTTATTATTTTGAGTTGTTATCAGGAAGACATTGCAGCTCATCTCAGACACCCACGGAATATGATGTAGGGCGTAATGTGTTAGTGGTTATTTGTTTGTTAAACTGGAGGTATTTAAGTACTATTAGGGTTGTTTGCTTATCTAGTTTAAATTGTAAGAATTGTTAATTTATCTTTTATTAAATTGTAGTTTACGTATTTAAGCTGCTCATGAAGTTCTGTGGTGTGTATCTTGTATATATTCTATTAATTTATACATATTTTAAATTAATTCTTCATATTTAAAACTAATTTATGATTACTTTTTATAATGAAATCTATAATTTTACAGTTTAAAGTTGCAAACATGTCTAATTTTGATTATGTAATTCATGTTATAATATCCGCCGATATTTATTTAAAAAAATAATTGCAATAGTTTAATTTGTAATATAAAAAGCAATATTGCGGCTTACCCATTGTTTTCGATAACTAGCTCCATTTTCCAGTGCACAACTGATCGATAAACACGTTTCAACTTTATGTACTTGTGTACGACCACAAAACTCTTATTACTTTTAAATATATCCACATATGACTGTGCTTTTGACTATGTGCCAGAATTCTATGCAATGATCTTTTAACACCTGTGATTATTTATTTTGATGAATAATAGATTTGAGCGAAAAGTTTTGAAATGAATATTGTCTGTAATGTGATATTTATATAGGAGTATGGACGTAAAAATATAGGTAGGACATGTTATTTTAATTGAGCTATTTTATAGATAATTAAGAATTTCAGAAGTAATAAACGAAAATCGAAATTATTATGGCACATGAACCAGCTTCAACATATATCATCTAGAAATGTGTAAGTATTCTTTTAACTTTACTATGTTAAATTAGGAAAATTCTAATTAGTTTTCTTAAGGTGTGTTTACAAAATAAAAATCACAATTGCACGAATCTTTTCAGATATAGCAGCGTCAGACACTTATTTGAACATCACTTGATTGTTATAGATAAAAAATGTCCTTAATAAAAAGGTTGCGGTTTAATGAACTAGACGCACAACCGACGTCCGCGCCGCGACGAGACTGCGCCTGTTAACTGCATGGACTACTCTACTTTTAGTACTTGATGCTAGTTTTTTTAACTACCTATGTCTAACTTAAAAACCAGACTGATAAGAAGAATTTAGGACTCTGCTTTTAGGTTAAGTGACAGATACAAGTGTCGTGGTTTTCTCGCTTAAATTTATTGTTTTATAAAGTACTGTTGATTTACTATAGTAAAATCTTTCGTCTTGGTTGTGGTATTGACTTCTTTGATAACGAACCTCCTGATCCCGGAAAGGTGGATTTCTGATGATTACAAAAAAAGGAAAGAAGCTGAACAAAATAACTCTTCATATTAACCATGGAACACTACATATCTTATAAACAAATAGCAGCTGAAACAGTTAAATTACTATCACTGAAGAAAAAACGTGGCTGGCATATATGTTTTGTGTAAAGTCACCTTCAGCGTCCGTCATCGTGAGTAATCAGTGGTGAACGTCTTGCATCTGGTTCGTGTATAAGGATCTCTGCCAAAGAAGTTTCTGAAGTATTAAATACTATGGCTAGAGGCAAATCACTTGGGCATGATGGGTTCAGCATTGAACTCGCGTATATGCCGGTGCTCACTTGCCAAAGGTGTTGGCTATGTTTCTTAGTTTGTGTAGAGCCCTTCAGTATTTACCGACTGATCTCATGAAGACCATTGTGGTGCCCATTATTAAAAATAGAATAGGAGATATATCGGACTTAAACACTTACAGCCCAATCTCACTAGCCACTATAATAGCTAAGGTGCTGGATAGTTTGCTTGACAGACAATTGCGAAAGCATGTTCATCTGCACGATGCTCAATTAGGGTTCAAACCTGGACTTTCCTTGGAAAGCGCAATTTTATGTCTTAATCAGACTGTAAGGTAATACACAGATACAAAAACGCCGGTGTATGCCTGTTTTAAATCTGTCAAAAGGTTTTGATCTAGTCTCTTTTTATAATTCATAGAAAAAGGGTTTTGTGCGATGCGATTATGACGCCCTGGTAGTTACAAAAAATCTGAAATAAAACTTACTAATTACTTAATCTCTAATTCCATTAAATATATATTTATGGTTCCGATAAAATACTATTACTACTACCAATTAAGGAAAAATGTAAATTACAATTTGCTCTTTCTCTTGAGTTCTGTGCACGTTCTATCAAAATGTGATAAACATCGTCGATAACATTACAAGTAATTTTTTTGCATCAAGTATAAAAATTTATACCATGGAATGTGTCCAGATCCTGAGTCTTAATCACACAGATCAAGTCTCTTCTAATGTC